GCACCTGTGTGGCTCAGTGGGTTAAGCCTCTGCCTTCAGCTCAGGTCATTATTTCAGTGTCCTGGGATCAAGCCCTGCATTGGGCTCTCTGCTCAGCAGGGAGCCTGCTTCCCCCTCTCCCTGCCTCTCTGCCTACTTGTGATCTCTCTCTGTCAAATACACAAATAAAATCTTAAAAGAAAAAAAAAGAAATAGCTAACATCTAACTTTATCATTAAATTTTTATTTATATTTTTTAAAAGATTTTTTTTATTTATTCATGAGAAACAGAAGGAGAGAGAGGCAGAAGCAGAGGGAGAAGTAGGCTCTCCTCAGAGCAGGGAGCCCAACGTGGGACTCGATCCCCAGACCTCGGGATCACCACCTGAGCCGAAGGCAGGCGTCCTCATTGAATTTTTATTTTAAGAGCAATTCTTGGTTATCACATAAAGTCTGGGGTATAGGGTGAAGGGAGCACCCACAGAAGATTATAAAGAAAGAAGAAATGAACCCAAACCCTTCTTGCTTCATTTTATTTTAAAAAATACCTGTTTTTCTAAGTAATCTCTACATCCAATATGGGGCTTGAACTCAAGGCCCCAAGATCAAAAGTTGCATGCTCCACCGACTGAGCCAGCAAGGCCAGCCCTCTCCTTTGCCTCATTTTGAAGGCAGCTACCTGGTACCCAACCTAGAGTAGTCACATCACAACGATTGTGTGTCTGCCATTCTGTAGGCCACAGCCACCTACAAGCAAACACACACACACACACACACACACACACACACACACACACACACGAGCATACAGTGAAACGACACAGTTTCCAGAGAGCACTCTGTGTTTCTAGTAACAAACCACAGTCTGCCTCTAGGATGTGTGACCAGGCTCTGCCCTGAGAGAGAAGGCTCACACGGGAAGTGTTCCTGCCCAGAGCAGGCAGCCAGGCCTCCAGGCTGTGCTCGGCGTGTCCCGACAGGATGCCAGGTAGGCTGGCGGGCAGGAAGAGATGCCGCTCCCAACCTCTCCCCGTTGTAATTGACCAAACCCATCTGGGGCTCCTTTAAGTTGTTTTCTGGAAATGACACATTTCAAGGGTCTCCCCATTCGAAAAGTTCAGAGAGTTCACACAGGCCTTTCATGTGAAGGAACTTGAAAGAAAAGGAAAGGAAAAGTACATTTTCAGCCTTAGCTGTGATGAGGTGGGCCCAGGCCATGAGAACACTTAGATGACTTACATGACGTTACATGAAGAGCCAATTAGCCTAACAACTTCCGAAAACTAGCTCAAGAGTACCCATTTATTAGAGAACTTGGAATGTGCCAGGCCTTGAGCTAAACTCTTTCCTAGGATATGGAAATCCTCTCCAGATCACTCCCGCAGCGCCAGGCAGTCTTGGGGAGTGATACTCATCTTACCCAGGAGAAAGCTGAGGCTCAGAGAGGGTGGGTGGTTTGTCTGAAATCCCCCAGCTAGCAAATGGTAGGGCAGCGATGCAAACTCAGATAGGTCTGCCTAAATCCAAGGCCGGAGCTCAATCCTTGGTCAGACCCTCCACCCCTGTGAGCTCAGACTTTGTCCCATGTCCAGCCTTGAAGGACACCACATGTCTGCTGGTGGCTCACATGCAGGAAGATGAAGCCTCATTAACTCGTCAGCCCTGGGGGCACCTGGGTGACTCAGTCAGTTAAGGGTCCAGCTCTTGGTTTTAGCTCAGGTCGTGATCTCATGGGTCATGAGGTTGAGCCCCAGGAATCAGGAGGTCCTGACTGGCTCCACACTAGGCGGGGAGGCTGCTCGAAGATTCTCTCCCTCTGTCCCTCCTCCCACTTGCACATGCCTGTGCCCACGTGTGTGTGCACCCACTCTCTCTCAATAAACAAATCTTACAAAAAAAAAAAAAATCTTTAGCTCTGACCTGGACTTCATGGGTGCAGAAGACTCCTGGGCCTCCCTGCAGAATATTCTGGCCCTCATCCTGAAACTGCCGGGTCACATCCGGAGGGGCAGTCACAGTAGATCCCACTCACCACCCTGTGGGGGAACCCCAGGGCCACTGTGACTGTATGGGATCTGAGTTGGTGCCCAGAGCACCAGTCTACCTCTCTAGGGTGGGCCCAGAGATGGCACAGACAGAGGTCTGACTATAGGGAGACGCTCTGGGCCCTCCTATGTAGCAAAGAGCTTGAGCTACCCTATTCAAACCAACCAGAGAGATTCCCTAATCCTCCTGGTGGTCCCTCCAAGCAACATGAACCACTTGGAAAGTCAGGACTCTATTAGTCACAGCTCATTCATCACTATTTGTCTGCAGAGACCACAAAGCAGGTAAGAACCCCCTTCTGGAATTTAAGAGGTCATGATGGAACGCTGCTGCTGGGCCACGCCTGCCTTTGGTAGACAAGCCTGAGCTCTTTTTCCTCTGTATCTCGCCAAACTTTAGAGCCTTCCACGTCCAGATGAAGTCTGCCTCCTCCAGGAAGCCCATCTGTCACTCCAGGCACATTGATTCCACCATATCTCCTTCTGAGCTCCTTCTGCCCATGGTCTGCATAGACTAATAACCAACAAATGCGGCTCTAATAATTTCTCAGCTTCTCAAGCAGACAATGCCTTCTGGAGAACAGGAACTCTACCACGCCTCCCCTCTCTCCACAGCCGGATTCCTGGGTTAGGTACATAGGTGATTCTCCCTAGCAGACATTCAAGCTGATTTCAGTGTGGCTATAGATATCTGATACTCAGCTTGCTTCTCCCTCCCTTACCTCTCCTTCCTCACACCCTTATTCTCCCTGCTCACCTGCCTCCTCCCCTGGTTCCACCCAGTAGGACATGATCCTGTAGCATAGTGGTTCCCAGACTTTGGGATTCCACAACCCTATAAAATGTCCAAAGAGATCTGGGGGTGGGAGAGAGACAAGGTTTTCTTCTGCCAAATAAGGACGTTTAAAAAAATCAATCTCCACCTTTATTTTAGTAAAGAAAGGCTGTTTTTACACCAATAAAGCAGAAAATCCATAATCTCTGATTAAACGCTAATACTTTAAGCTGAAAAAATTCAGCCTTATTGAGAAGAACAAACCACCTCACTGTTGCCCTGACTTCTCTCCTTTCTCCATGGGCTGCCACTGTCCTGTGTCCACTCATGGGTCTGGGGACCTTTGTCCTGGAGGAGGCTCCTGCTAAGCTGGGGTCACCCTGAAAGGCAAGAGGACCCCCAAAACCTTTGAGTTAGGCAGATCCATCTTCCCATTCAGCTTTCCCAGAGGAGGCCCAGTTAGATCTTATAACCTCAAGGGCTGAGGAGGGGGAGGGCATGAGCCCCTCCTCCTATACCTTTTCCCCTCTCTACCAGGCTAAGATTTGCTGGGGATCCCCAGTGGAGATGAAGTGAGACTCAGCAGCAAGCTCACACCCAGAAAAGGAAACTAGGGGAACCTAATGGGCAGGCTTTTCTCCACATCTCATCGCCGAACTGAGCACTAGGAATCCCCACCCCCAGCCCCCGGAAGGGAGGAAAAGTGGGCACTCCAGCCATGCAGTAGGAGGCCCAGCCGCCCCGCTGAGCGGCCGCAGATAGGATCTGAACTCCGAGAAGGACGGCGCTGGTTCTTTGATCCGCAGCCAGCCAGGCTGGGCCCGGACCGGGAGGGGCGGCGCGGCCCTCTTCCGGCCCGGCTTTGCGCCGCTGCCAGGGGTCCCGTGGGCCTCCGAGCAGGAGAGGCGTCCAAGACACCCTCCTTCTCAAATACCCTCTGTCCCTGTGCTCTAGGGAGAGATGGGGAAGTCTACACTGAATCCAACTCAGAAACCAGCTGGGGGGCTGTGGTTCACTGCACCGCGACTCTAAAGGACGTGTGTCTTTCGCAGATACAGTGGTGGAGCCGAGGCCAAGCGTGCTGTGGAGGCCTGCGTGGACACGGCCCCGGGTGCATTGTAGACATGATGGAAGCTGGCGCATGTTCCCGCTCTCCTCTGACCCTAATGGAGCCCGCAACCTGGATGTTGCGAGAGTCTGCGGGCGTCAGGCTCCGAGTCCATTGGCTCCATGGGAATGCGACTTCCCGTGTTGAGTTGCTTCTGATGACCCACTCGTCGGAATCCCGCGGCCCACGTGTCCGCCCAAAGCCTCGCATCCCTGGGCCCCAGGTTCTAGGCTTAGAACTGAGTTGGGAGGGAGGGAGGGAAGGAGGGGGTGGGTGGCTGAAAGATCCTCACGAGGTTTGGGGGATCCTTCCTCCTTGTTCTCTGGGCTCTGTTCGCGCCTCAGAGATGCCACAGGGCTGAGAGGCACGTCACAGATATGTGGTGCACGAGCCCCGCATGCAACAGGCATTCCATAAATATGCGAGGGGAATATGCTCGTGTTAGGGTTGTATCCGGGCTGCCTGGAAGGAGGTCCCAGACCGGCCTAGGGTTGGAGAACAGGACAGAGAACGGGAATTTGAGGAATCCTAACCCTGAAAGCCGGGGTTCGCGCAGTCTCCAACAGCCTCCAACCTCCAGGAAGCCCCCAGTTTCAAGCCCTGGACGCACTGGCCGGCTCGCCGACGCAATTACACCTTGGCTTGCGTTCCAGCTCCCGCCGCAGGGCCTAGGGAATCCGGTCCCTCGGCACTTGGGGGAGAAACCTGGGTGCAGAGCGGGAATCCCTTATTGTAGGTGAGGAAGCTGGGTGAGGAGTCTCCTTTAGAGTTCCCACATTTCGGAAGAAAGGTCCGGACGCCAGAGTGACGCCGGAGAGAGCGAGCCCTTTAAGATCCAGCGCGCTGCTCGGGTCCCAGCCTCTCCGGGGAGAGGAGGGGCTGGGCGGGGCGACTTTGCCCCCCGCCCACCCATAGGGCCCGCCCCTGGCGTTCCCGCCCCGCCCCCCCCGCACTCGGCTCGCGGCGCCTTTGATGTTCGGACCCGCCAGCTCCAGGAGCCGCTCAGCCTGGCTCCCGCGCCCGGTGCCCGCAGCCCGCCCAGGCGGAGTCAGCCCGCGCTCCGCCCGCCGTGCTTCGGGCTCGGAGGTCCGGACTCCGACGTCCGGACTCCGGGCTCGCCGCCTGCCGGGCCGGTTCCGCGCCCCGAACTCCCGCGCCCCGCGCCCCGGCGGGCGGAGCGCACCATGCCGCAGCTGGACTCCGGCGGGGGCGGCGCGGGCGGGGGCGACGACCTGGGCGCGCCTGACGAACTGCTGGCCTTCCAGGACGAGGGCGAGGAGCAGGACGACAAGAGTCGCGACAGCGCCGCGGGCCCCGAGCGCGACCTGGCCGAGCTCAAGTCGTCGCTGGTCAATGAGTCCGAGGGCGCGGCGGGCGGCGCAGGGGTCCCGGGGGCCGGCACCGGGGCCCGCGGCGAGGCGGAGGTCGGGGGTGAGGTGAGCGCCGGCCGGTGCCCCGCGCCTCTCCCGCGCCCGCCGTCCCCCGCGCCCGGCCAGTCCCGCCCCGCCCTCCCGGGCCCCCGGGGTAGCCATCCCTCAGACCCCTCCTGCCCCGGGCCGCGAGCTCGGCGCCCCTCACGGCCCCTCTGGATCTCCCCGCAGGCGCTCGGACGGGAGCACGCTTCGCAGAGACTTTTCCCCGACAAACTTCCAGAGTCTCTGGAGGACGGTGAGTTTCGGCCCGCCTCCCCTCCACCCGCTAAGGGTCCGGGTGGGACAGGGGGGCCTCCGAGGACGGGGTTGGGGGGGCCGGGGGGCCACCCCCCACGGCGGATCAAGGAGGCGGCAAAGCCAGGGTGGGGGTGTGGGGGGCGGGTTTCCCGGGCGCCGCCGGGCTCGAGTCACTTCCGGTGCCCTGACCTTTATAGGAGTAAACAGACCCCCGCCATCTCCGCCTCCCCTCCTGCCCAGGTGACTGCCTAATCCCCAGCCTTCAGGAGAAAGCGTTGGCCCAGGTTCCTTGGCCAGAGGGCGGGCTGGGGGTCAAGTAGGGGCCGCCAAGGGGAGGCCTGAACTCGTGGTCCTTCGTCCGAACTGAGGCACCCGGGACCCGTGCCTTCTCCGGTCACACACGTGAGCGGGACCCCTCGGCAGTTCTTTCTCTGGAGAGCAGACTGCCTCCGGCCCGAGCCACCCGGTTGGGCACGTCTGACCCAGCTGTGGTTTTTCCAGGCCTGAAGGCCCCAGAGTGCGCCAGCGGCATGTACAAAGACACCGTCTACTCCGCCTTCAATCTGCTCATGCACTACCCTCCCCCCTCGGGAGCAGGGCAGCACCCCCAGCCGCAGCCCCCGCTGGTAAGTGGCCCCGGCAGCCGGGCAGGCCTTGTGCCTGTTACCTCCTTGACCAGGTATGTGGGACATGGGCAACAAGTGACTTCTGCCTAGAACAAGATAGATGAGAACTGTTCTGGTGCCTTTTCCCATACACACCCAGTGGCATCTGAACCAGGAGAACTTTGCTGAAGGAAGGAGAGAGACCACCCTAGGCACCCCCTTCTCTCCAGCTGTTGGCTTTTGTCTTCCTAACTTGCTCACAAGCAGGTGCAGGCCCTTGTCCTGGTGCTAGGTAATGCCAGGGTAGAGTCTTTTCCCAGAATTTTTGAGCTGACACCATCCCCTCCCTTCCCGAGGATGGTGTTGGTAGGGTGATCTTAGCTGTGGGGTTTGCAGTTTGCCTACTCCCCCAGCCTAAGCCCCAAGCCTGGGTGTTTGGAGAAATTGGGCAGAAAGGCTAGTGTGTTTCAGAGCTCCTCCTTGTGCAGGAGAAACAGGCTGTACTCACTCTCCCCTTATTGTCATGAATACCCCCTTGCCAGAGAAAGACCCTGAACGCTAGGTGTAGAAAGCAGGCTTTTATGAGACTGGTTTGCTCTCATAAGCTCTGCAAGGGTTAGCAGAGGTATTTCAAATCAGTGGTGTGGGTAAGGGGCCCGTTTAATGATTTTGCTAATTGAATATGTTTAAGCGCTTCAAAAAGATTCTGTGATTGTTACAAACCATGCTTTTCTGCCTCATTGGTACAGATGATCTAAAGGGTGAAGAGCCTATTCTGAGTGCATTGGAGCAGTACAACTGCACTTAAAAAAAGTTGAGATTAGTGGTTCAGACTGTCCTCAGCTGGCCTAAGTTGAGGGTGAGATTAGAGCGCCTGGAGTACACCAAGTGTTTGGGGAACTCTGGTGGCTGCAAATGGAGGCCCAGTGTGGGAGGCTCCCATGGCTAGTTGGGGGATCACTCCGAGGGAAGAGGATGACTGCCAGGCTGTTTCAGATCGGGAGGGAGGAGGGTTGCTCCTGAAAGCTGTTTTCATGCTGAAGCTGCTGGGAGGTGAGAAGACAGATTGAGGCTTCTCTTTAGAAACCCCAGAATGGAAAACTTGGTTAACTGTTGACTGTAGAAATGAGCTCCTTGCCCCTTGGACTCCACGTTTTCTCATAGGCAGAAGCAGCGTGTTGGTTGAGTGGTCCTTCTGCTCCAGGGTGGCTCTGTCTCTGAGGTGCTCACTTCTTTCAAGTCTCTGGGGCAAGGGGTTGCCATCTGACCTTGGCACCAGATGCAGAGCCTCTCCCCAGAGACCTCCGCCCTCCCTACTCAAGCGGATGCTCAGCATAGATGCTTCCTGGGTTTCTTAGAACGTCTAAACCCTTAGATTTTGGGCCAACTTGATCTAACACAGTGCTGCCAAATTGCTGGCAGGTGAGTTGCTTGCACAGGGTGCTGGGGTCACCGTGACAGCCTTGAGTAGACGAAAGGCCTAGGCCCTAGAACAGTCCTAGGAGGGGCAGCTCCCCTCCAGGCTCTTGTGATTCCACAGCGGTCCAGGGAAGAGGCAGGATTCCTGCGTTCCTTTCATGGCCTGGGCCAGTGGGAGAGTGCCCAGAGTGGGAGGGCCTCGTTCTCTTTAAGGGTGTGGTAACGGGACCATTTGGTGTCCTTAAGCTCGCACTGGTCATAGTGTAGGTGGACGGATGGCCAACTCCAACAGTGAGGATTGGGGTGGGGGGTGAGGGCAGACACATCACTATTACCCTGGCCTGTGTCATTTGTTTTTTCAACTTGGGCATCTTTCTTAAGCTATAGCAGAGGCTTTTCTGTATATTACAGTCTCTTATAGAGGTAAATTCCCTTGCCCTACTCCCCACCCAACTGCAGCCTCCCACTGCCTGGCTTCTGGGAAACACTGGAGGAGGAGGACAAGCTCTGGAGCTGACGTTCCATGTGCTGAAACCAGCTGTTCCGTGGGGCTGGGGACAAGGATAGAGTCAAGGGCCTAAGTTGGGGTGACACCGGGTGGTGAAGATGTCCATGAGTATAGGGGAGCCTCTTTTAAGCAAACCTGATAGTTAAAAGTGAATAGCAATTCGGGGTAGTTGCTTGTATTAACCTGAAAAGTTGTGTGGACGTTTAAAATACTGTTGGTTTTAAAATGCAAATTTGATTGACTCCATGTTTTGGGAGCACATGTAACAGAAAAGATACTCTTATAGTGGGTCTGGAGTCCATTGTAGGGCCTTGAGGAAAAACTGCCTTTGGAGGTTTCTTCCCAAGCTCTGCTTTCCTAAACCCCTCTTTAGGGGGACGGATGTCATGCTGTCCAGCCCCTGCCCGTGGGGAACTAGGCCCCTGGCCCCCTTTGCCCTCTCTGAGAGAATCCAGGCAGTCGACAGTTGTGCTGAAGAGTTCTTAAGGCCAGTCGCTTAACCTCCCCACAGAGTGGGGAAAGCCCATGCCAGGGTCCTCCTCTACCCACTTGTGGGTGGCATGCCCACGTGGTTACCATGTTGGATGTCTCTAAGTGGGCAGACTCAAACCTTGCCAGGGCGGCGGACCAAATGACCACCTCACAGCCAGCTGCCACTGGGTAGAGGAAGATTTTTCCTAAAAGGGTGCTTCTTTTCTGTTACGTGGCTTCTAGTGAACTCAGTTTTGGGAAGGGAGAATTAGGTCAAAATTTATTTCATGGCTGATGTTTGTGAGGCATCTAATGTGGGCTTGCAGACTGTTCCTGGCCTCAACCAGTAGTTGCTCCTTGTTTCTGTTTTGTTTGTTCTGTTTTGCTCTGAGATTGGGGGTGGGAGTAGAAGGGCCAGTAAGCTTGTCCTGGGCCTGACTTTGAGGAAATTCTGGGATGAATAAGGCACCACTCCCTAGGAAACTCAGACTCTTGGATGGGTGAGACTGCCGGACTGGCGCAGATCTTCTCAGAAAAAAGATGAGGGCCGGTTGCTCTTGTGGTCCTTTCTGTGGGCTCCACTTGGAGTCTATGGCCTGGAAGGCTGCTGAGCCTTTTGCCGTTTAGATGAAATGTCCAGAATAAGCAAATCTGTAGAGATGGGGCACAGATGAGTGGTTGCAGGGGCTGAGCGAAGACGGGAATGGGGGCGGTGATTGCTAATGGGTAAGGGGTTCCTTTTTGGGGTGATGAATGTGTTCTGGAATTAGACGGTGGTGATGCGTACACAACCTTGTGAATACACTAAAACCGCTGAACTGTATACTTTTAACAGTAAATTTTATGATATGCAAATTACATCTCAGTTGAAAAGAAGGAAAAGGCTGAGCCTTTTGGCTCTTACAGAGACTTGGGCCGTTCCTCAGGCCTGACCTCAGCAGCTGTCCCGGTGTGTGTGCAAGCCCCCCAAGCCATGGGCTTGGGCATCAGTTCCAATGTGGGGGAACCCAGGAGGCAGTAGATCCATGGTTGGGTTCCAGGCCATTGAGCTCACATTCCCAGGCTCCAGGGTCTGAGGTCAGCTGAGGGCTGTGCTAACAAGCCCTGTGGGGAGCAGGAGGTGCAGGTATGAGCAAGACTTGAACAGAGGAAGGAAGTGCTGCTGACACAAGCCACCATGTCCAGGGAAACTCTGCAGAGATGCACCCACCCAGGCCTCCATAACCTCAGAGAGAGGGAGCAGCCTGGTGTTGCTGGGGACAGTTAGTAGGGTTGATCAGCCCTGGTTGGAGTGAACCTTGTTAGAAGGGGTCTGGCATCAGGCAGGGCACCTGAGAGATCACAACCAGCCTCTGCCCCTGGGAGTGCCTGGCTGAGTGGAGGAGACAGATGACCAGACTGCCCTGGTTGGCAGGGTGCTGTCACAGAAGGCCCTGCTGGGGCATCCTGGGTGGAGCTGGCCCCCACATGGGCTGTGGGCTGTGGAGGAGGGTCCGCCAAGCAACTTCCTAAAGGTGCAGATTTGGCCAGCACATGAGCACAAAGAGTACCGGGCTGTCCTCCAAACATGCCAGATCTCCCGCTTCTCCACTTTAGTCTCCGTCTAAAGCCCAGCCTCGGCCATCACTCACCCAGAAGGCAGTAACGGCCACCTCAGGGCTCCCTCTGCCTTGACCTTGGCATCCCACCCCCAAACCCCTGCCCTAACCCCCAACCCAGGCTCCACACAGCAGCCCAGCAAGAGAAGATCCCTTCTTCCTGGTGGCCAGCCCTGCGGACAGCACCTCCTTGTCTGCACCATATTCTTCCTCTCTCCCTAAATAGCAGCTACTGCACTGTCTCCCTCTGCTTCACACCCATCCTGTTCTTTCCACCTCAGGACCTTTGCACTTGTTCTCTCAGTTAGGAATTCTCTTCCCTAGCTCTCACATAGCTGCCACCTTCTCATTTGTCATTCAGGGCCGAAATCAAATATGACTTACCCAGAAACACCTCCTGTGAACATCCAAGTGGGGCCCTCTGTCATTCCCCCAGGCCTTTGCTGCGTCACCCACCTTGGTTCTCCAGGCCATAGTGGGTGGCCTTGCTTTATGATACACTCGTTTGTTGTACTGAGGCCAAAGGCAGCCCATTTGTCCAAAGTGTCTCTCTACCTTAGTTTCCTCATTCACACAGTGGGAGTGGTGAGCCCTCCTCCCAGAGTTGGAGTGTGGAGTGGAGGCAGCAGTGCCTGCATGTCCTGGGCTTGGGAGGTGAGGGTTTGGCCATTATTGATCCCTTTTCCCTTGCTCTCATGGCTCATCTGGGGCTAGTGGTGGCTCAGTGGTTAGACTCCCATCTGGAGGGTTGTATCTCTACTTTGGGCCCCAGGGGCCTGGGGGTCAGAGCCCTGGGGGCCAGCTTGGGACAGGGACACAGGTATATAGGCTTCTTTCTTTCTTTCTTTCTTTCTTTCTTTCTTTCTTTCTTTCTTTAAGGTTTATTTATTCTAAGAGAAAGAGTAAGCAAGCGAGCGGAGGGAGGAGCAAAGGGAGAAGGAGAGAATCTCAAGCAGACTCCCTGCTGAGCAGGGAGCCCCACATGGGTCTGGATCCCAAGACCCTGAGATCGTGACCTGAGCTGA